GTCAGTGTCCCCGCCACACAGTGGCTTAGAGAAGGTTCCTGGCAGCACAGAGGGGCCAGGGGTGCGAGTGGGCCACGCAGAGGACGCCAGGGCGGCATAGTCCGCCTGAGTCAGGCAGAACCAGGGGCAGCAGGAGGCTGAGGAAGGAGCAGAGCCGCTTGTCTGTGTCCCAGTGAGGGCAAGAGGCAAGTGGAAAACGCTCACATACACACACACACCCAACATACTTTCAAACACGCTCACATGACCCTGCACTCACACACCCAGCACGGTTACACACTCAGGACCGTGCAACCCACAGACGCTCAGACACAGTCACAGATGCACACACCCCGCACCTCACCGCAGTCCCTCTGGGTGAACGGGCCTCCTTGGGGCCCCAGGCAGGTCCATCTGACGGCGCCCACATGTAGGCACTCACCTGCGTGGCTGGAACCTCAGCATGCGGGGAATTCCATTCTTCCATTTAACACATGGGGCTCGACTTCCGGAGTTTGGGGCTGAGCAGACCTTACCTGTGAGGATGTTTCACCGGCGTATGCCAACGGCCTTAACCCAGATCACCAAACCGAGTCAGGAGAGAAGGCGAGACTCAGAGCCGCCTCTGTCCTGGGATGTGCCATGACACAATTACACCACTTACCCGACTCAGGATGAGTCAAGGGAAAGCTCAAAACATTAGAGGGAAACTGTCCAACAGGCGGTGACCCCTCAGGGCAACAGTGAGTGCAGCCTCTGTCTCCCCCCCCAGCCCCCCCCCGCTCTTCACTCAGGCCTGGATTAGGAGCTCTGCTTCCACCACCACCCCCACCCCCGTTTGCAGATGTGGAAACGTGAGCACAGAGCAGAGGAGAAGTGGCTCCACGCTGCAGGGCTCCGAGCCCCAGGACAACCACCCGAGACCTGGGGGTTCACTGTCAGGCCCATGCCCCTCGTGGCTGTGCCCAGGCCCTTGTGCCCCCTGTTTTCATCACCAGCCAGGTTGCTTAAGGCATCTGCTGCCTAGGCAGAGACGGAAGCCCAGTGCTCAGGGCGTCACTCGCTGCAAGCGAAGAAGGCAAGCCCGAGGCCCTGGGTCCCAGGCAGTCTCAGCCCAAGCCAGTGCCATGGCCAGGGCCTGGCCCTCCAGCTTCTCCTCAGAGTCGAGGGCACATGAGTCCATGGACGAGTGTGTGGCTACCCTCTCTCCAGGGAAGGGCCAGGGGTGGAGGCCAGCCGGTCTCCGCACCCAGATTCAGCCAGTCTGGCAGCGAGGAGGCCCGAGGAGGCCAGGGGTGCACTGAGGGCTCCTTGCTCCTCTTTCTTTAACTTCAGGAAAGTATCGCACAGTCACGCCCGCCCCAGGGAGCACGAGGACACTGGCGAGGGTCTCCCCTCAAGAGCTGGGTCCCCCGCTCCACGGGTACCACCAACACAGGCTGCCTGAGACATGGCCGGGACCCACCTGCAGCCTGGAGACCTGGGAGCTGGCCACTGCCCCTCTTCACCCCGGGCACTGGCAGGCACTTGCATGCTTGGGGCTCACCTTGAGGTGGTGCAGGGTGCGGGTTGGGGGTTGGGTGGGGGGGGGAGCGCCAGGAATGCCATTTAGAGTGAAATACAGGCCTTACAGTTCTTGTGGCTTCCTAGTGACCCCCTCCAACAAGACGGGGTCAGGCATTGGCAGAGAATCTTGCACCAGGCAGGGTTAAGTGTGAGAGGGAGAGCGACATTCCCAGGGCAGGGAGCCGGGCTGTGGGTCCCTGCAGGGCGGGAACTGTGGGCGTCACCGAGGGGCTCCCGAACCCGGCTGCTCTCAGTGGGCCAAGGACCTCTTTCGCTTGCCCAGGGTTCCTGGAGGTGGCGGACCATGCTCTGACGAGCTTCTCCTGGCAGAAGAACGCGCCGGCCATCTGGACCATGAAGACCCAGGGAAGCGCGAGCTCCGCCCTGCACGGCATCCGGGCCCTGAGCCTCCTCTGGGTCATGTCAGGGCACACGGGCCAGATGACCGCCTGGCTGAATCTGGGTGCGGACACCGGCCGGCCTGTATGAGTGGACAAGGAAGAGGGACTCCTTTGTGTGGGGCCCTGTCACGTGGGGTGGAGGCTGCAGCAGGCCTTTGGGCAGCCTGCCCTCTGCCTTAGAGGCACAGCTGCTACCTCGGAAACTTCCAGACCTGTCCAGAAGCTGCTTTTCTGCCCTCTGGGTGTGAATCAGGCACCTGGTTCCTAGGTGAACACGGATACCTGAGCGCTGCCTGTTCCTCCCCTAAGAGCGAACTCCCACACATCATGATTTGTGAAGCTAGAAACCAAGTTTGTTGTTTTTTTTTAACCTCCTGGTAAAGCAGACAAGCTTAAATACTGTGCAGTGGTGCTAAGTCAGTGTTCCCTGACCTTCTCTGAGGGCTGCACTCTGGAAGCACAGCGCCCAGAGCAGTGGTGTCTGCAAAGGTGGCAAACACAGATCAGAACTAAGAGGCTGAAGTGCCTCCTGCTGCCCCAGCCCCAAGCAGGTGATGCTACGGTCGCCCCAAGGGGCTGCCTGCGCCCAGGTGAGAGCACAGAGGAGCTCAATGCCTTGGGGACTTCAGGCACCTCGGTGCCCGCTCACGCCCATGTTAGGGTCCTCCCAAGTGAATTATGGGGATGCATAATCCCCACAGGTGTACAACTGGAAGTCGAAGGTGTTTCTCTTCTCTCTGCTGAAAAGGTAAGTGTGAGGTTTTTTCCCATTAAACAAAAAGGCTGTTTGTTTTTTTTTTTGTTTGTTGCAGATAATGTTCTGGAATGGAGAGCCAGAGTACTTAAAAACCCCCTGTACCTTTATTCTCGGAGTGGCCCGTTCTACCTTGGGGTTGATACGTTTTTCCTGATCAGGTAATGAGGCGTTTTCTCTGCTGTCTGCCTGGCTGTATGGCTGGGTGTGTGTGTGTGTATACACATAGTCATTCTCACTTTAGTGAGAAAAACTGAACGGCCTGCTCTCGGTGATGACCTGGCCTTTGCTTCTGTCTCCAGATAGACTGTTGTCCTCTCCTCTGAATCTCCTGTTTCTTAGATGGGTGAGGGTGAGACCTAAGAGGGCCTTTTATGGAAGGTGAATTTATTTTAAAAAATTGTTTAGTTTACTGATTCTCAGATTCTGGTACATTAACTAATACAAATGCAAGATAATATTTCCAGTTCTCACTGTGAGTGAGTGTGAAAAATAAGAAAATGGCATGCTGGTCACAAAGCTATGATTTCTAAATTAACCAGCAGCAGAGAAGCTTTCTCAATTGCTCGATGACTGTCAGGCCCTGTGTGTGGGACTCCGGCGTCACCTCGCTCCAGCTCTTGGCGGCCCTGTGTTGTTGGCCCACAGCCTCAAATCAATGGCGTCAGGTGAACAAAGTGACTTGCAGTATGTTCACAGTCCTGGGTGACTACACTTCTTTCTGGTTCCAAAGCGTTTTCCTCATCCCTAAACGAAACAGTTACCCGCAGTTCTCTCTCTCTCTAGCCCCTGGGAATCTGCTTTCAGATCTGTAGAGTCACCTGTTCTAGGTATTTCTGGTAAGAGGGGCACATGACATGTGGCCTTTGATGCCTTTGAGGTTTTCTAGGGTGCGACACATAGTGGCACTTCGTTCCTGTTAGGGCTGATGTCATTCCACCTGTGGAGAGGACTCCCTGAGGCTACCAGGGTGATTCCTGGGGGACCCGCCAGGTACTCGAATTAGAGTTCATAGCCAGAGTCTCAGTCTGTCTCTGGAAGTTCTGGGTCAGATATCCCTTCTTTTAGGGAGCTAGGCATGGTGGACGTAGCTGATTTTATCGACCACTGAGCATTCATCCATCGACCATGATTGAGGAAGACCTATTTGCTGGGCATGGTTCTGGGCCCACAGGGTATGTCAGTGGGTCAAGCAAAGAGCGACTGCCCACAGGGTTTCCATCGAATATGTGTGTGTGAGTGTGATTTTTACAGATGAGAGCCTGAGTTGACTTCTGGGGATGAAAGCATTTGTTTGACTCCCTCCAGGAAAGTGAGAACCTGAGCTTAATTAAGGCCCAAACCAGGCCATAAGCACCAAGTCACTGACACATTTTCACATATAAAACCAGCGATATAGTGATTACTGGTGATAGTTTGGAGTTCTTTTGTGTCTAAGGCTGGTTTCATGCATCTCTGCAGCAGGATGTCATTCTTTCCCAGTCTGTCCCCAGAGCAAATATTTCTCTTGCTCGGAGCCTGTTTTCCAGCCAGACGCTCTGTGTCTTCTCTTTGAAGGCTGGCCAGTGCATGCCATGCACAGAGGGAGGCCCGGCTTGCTTAGCAACCAAGCAGGCAGAGAGGAGCCAGTCAGGCTGAAAAGAAATGGTTGCTCAGGCCCCTGATTCACAATTCCTTGAGATTAAGAGGCAGCCACAGTGAGAACCAGCCCTCCTTCCACGCCTCAGGGCGCTCTTGTAGCTGCCACTATCCGTTTTGCTCCTGTTACAGTGAATCCTTGCTGCATTTCAAAGGAGAATCTAGCTGGCAGAGAATAAAGATGTTTCCTTGCCGTCCCTCATCTCTTGAGATTCTCTTCAGCACCCCCCTTCCTGCCCCCCCCACCTCTTTCACAATAAGAAATACATTAATTTGCAGGGAAACCCCTTCCCCCTCCACCCCCACAGGATTCAAGGATTATTGTATAAATGTCAAAAAGTCAAGAAAGGTGCTCACAACTGCCCCCCTCAGGTTGTAACTTGAAGGAATAGCCTGACTCCCTCTCACTAGTTGATCACCTGGTGGTCAGAGTATGTTGAGGGTGAAGAATTCCAACGTGATCTTGGACAACCCACCTCATTCTCCATTCCTGATTAGGCAGGTAATGTAGAGACTTCCCTTTCACCTCATAGGGTTGTTTATTTTCCTTGTCCATCATTCAGTCAACAGACATTTATTCCAAAGTAGTTTGGTGTTGGCTGGAGAAGCCAAAGCATTTCCATCAGTGAAAGGACTTTGAAAAGGATGTGACGATATGGAACACGGAAGGTCTTGGTGTCACTTGGGAAAGCAGTGTGGTAATACTAACATTGCTCACCAGGTATTTCTGGCTCATCCATTCCCATTTGAGTAGAAGAGAATGTCACCCATTTGGTAACATTCTGCTTGCTGGCCTCCCTGTGGTAGGTTGGCCTACGTCATTAAGTCTGGTCTGGTATGGCATTGTGCTGCATGTTAACCTTGTCACTTCTGAGTTTGGGCATTTAATTGCTGGATTGAACCCTTCCACAACTGTCCCATTCCCTGATATAGTCACTGGTAAACTCTCAGAAGGTGGCTGGGACCCCAATGAGAAAAATGCTGAGCCCAAGGTCACCAGTTGAGCTAAAGTCATGAGAACAAGAACAATAACCACTATCATTTTAAGTCTTGGAATTGTTCAGTTATTTTAGCATAACTTACTGTTTTCTGATAGAAATAACCAAAATGAAACTCTCAAACAATGAGCTGTATCCCTAATAAGTAATTTCTATGACTGTTTTTCTTTGGCTCCCAGTGGCTGGCTAAGTGCAAAGTCATTTTTAAAAATGCATCAGAATTCAGACAAAGGAATAACTCTTCATAGTGCACTCAGATACCTTTTCAATCGCTTTACAAGGTAGGTAATTCCTCGGTTCATGCCTGCAGTGCAATAATTTCTTTTAAGTCTTTAGCTTGCTGTTGAAAAAAAATTTCCAAGGAAAATAAATTGGGAGACATGGTTGATTTTCTTTTACACATTGAACTTTTAAAAAGATTTATTTATTTATGCATACAAGAACTGAAGTGTAAGCCAGAGGTGTGTGTGTGGGGGGAAGGGGAGGTGAGAGGTTTCACAGAGGCAGAGTGGGGAGCAGACCAGGTGGATCTACACTGCTGAGGGGAGCAGCGGGTGAGACAGGAGCGGTCTGCTGCGCCATGTGGGTCGGCTCCCTGGCCAGAGATGGAACTCATGGTGCAACAGCTTTCAAGTGGCTATCTTAAACCCCTGCGCCATTAGGGAGACCCTTACAAGATTGATTTTCAGCTGGTGTATTCCAGTTCAAATTCTGTTAGGACAAATCCCACGAAAACGTGTATCTTCCACTGGCAAAAACATCCTTACTCCTCAGCGGATGGGTGACAAGTTTCAAGAAATGTACCGTCAGATTCCCATGAAGTCTATTCAACAGAAGAACTTGCAGGACTCCTATGGATGAGTAGTGATTGGTCTTGTAAGTAAGAGTACCAGTGGGAATGATAAAAATTAAAATAATATGCAGCCAGGAGAGGGGCTGGTAGGAGCTTGGGACCATGGCGGCCCGCTGTGAGGGGGCAGGAGAGGAGGATGAGCCCTAGGGAGCCTTGGCTGGAGCTGAAGGGACTATACAGTTGGGACAGGACGTGGCGCCAGTGGGGCAGCAGGGGGCGCTATGGTAAACAGTTGACGTTTGCAGATAAAAGGAAACTTCATCTCCTGCCACCCCCTTGTCCCCCACCTATTTGTTTTCTAAGTCATGCCCAGTTGCTGACCTTGGCTCTGCTCTCTCATTGCTCATACTCCATGCCTCTCTCTTTATGTGACACTGTCTGAGATAGGGGTGTTGAAATAATCTTCTGGGCTGGTAAAATGGGGCGGAGAAGAGCTGTCTCTGGCATTTGTCTGCTGGACTTGTACCAGGGCTCATTTCTATACGAGCCATGTGAGTAAGTGTCTCAACCTTTCTGTGCTTAAGTTTCCACATTTTAAAAGTGGGGAGAATAGTGTGTGTAGCTGTTGGAACAAATACGTTTCCCCAAATTGAGATGAATGCAGTAGGCATGGCCATTCATCACACTTATTAACTAAGGGCAAATTACATACCGGTGTCCTCACGCGGAGCTAGTGGTGAGGCTTCAGGTCGAGGCAGGAGCCTACAGGAGTCTCCTTGGACCCTGCTTCGCAGGTGTGATCCTTGAACGGGACGAATGACCCCATGTGCTGGGAGGACAGGCCACCTGCGGCTTTGTTCTAAGGTCAGTGGTGCTGTGTTTGGATCACGACTACTGATTAATACACATGGAAAAAGCAGCGGGTGGGAGGGCCCCTGGGGGGCGCAGCGGGTTAAAGTGCAGCACTTCATGGCCTTCTTAGTGCCAGTTCGATCCCGCCCCAGAGATTACCCACAAGGCTCAGCAGACCTCTCCTGACCCGCCCACTGCTCCCCTCAGCAGTGTTCTTCCTCAGTTGGCCTGTTCTGCCCCCCATTCTGTCTCTGGTGAATTCTCTCACCGCCCCTGCACCTCTGGTCTTTACCCCAGTTCTGTATGCATAAATAAATTTTTAAAAATCTTTTTAAAAGGTGGGCAAAACTATATATATATATAATAAAAACAACGAGACGCTGGCCATCTTCGCAATGCAGGGCAATCACTGGCTGTGGATCCAAGATGGCGTCCCTCCAAGGGCGTATTTTGATTTCCCTGCAAACGGCATTCACTTCACGGGACTCTTGTGAGGACTCACTCAGGAGGAAAAGAACTTACCAAAGTGGGGACCGCCTAGTAAACCTTCAATAAGCTGTCGTTATTCTTGTCTATACCTTTTAACTTCTCCAGTAAGTAGGTTAAGAGTATGACCTAAGGAGTAGACTGTTATTGATTTTTTCCCTGGTGGCCTTTGCGGCTTCTTTTAAGCTCTATTGAGTCTGGCCTCATGCTGGGAAGGGCAGATGCTTAGCCTTTCGGTAGTATTTGGGTGTATGGCCTGTCCTGCCCCCGGGTCTGGAGCAGGGGGACGCTCGCTCGTGGTGGTTAAGCACTGAGGGCGTAGGCGGATTAGCTGGAGCTGGAAGGCGCCAACAACATGGCGGCTTCCGTCAGGGAAACTTGCCTCAGAGCGAAACCCTGGAGCTGGGGGTTGAGGGTAGGAAGTGTTTATTTAACACCAGATGGAACTTTAGGGTAGTGGGGAGCAGGAAGAGGATGGGGGAGTGTTGTTGGGGAAGGGGCAGTAAGACCTTAGGGGGCAAATGGAAGCAAGGACGCCTGGGAGTTAAAAACCAGGGCACTCTGGCCCTCCCTGGTGGCGCAGCGGGTTAAAGCACAGCACTGAGAATCTAAAGCCGCTTCCGCATGAGTTCGATCCCCGCCTGCCCCGGAGGTGACCACATGGCGCGGCAGACCTCTCCTGACCCGCCCGCTGCTCCCCTCAGCAGTGTACTTCGTCGATCTGCCTGTTCTGCTCCCCACTCTGTCTGGTGAAGCCTCTTGAGGCCCCTGCACCTCTGGCCTGTACCCCAGTTCTGTATGAACAATAAATAAATCTTAAAAAAAAAAAAAAAAAAAACCAGGGCACTCGCGAAATAAGCCAGGAAGAAAAGGAAAAATACCGGATGGTTTCACTCATAGCAGGAGTGTAAAGGGCCAGGGGAGAAAATAACAATAATAATGAACAACCATATACTAGAGACATTTCACGGGAGTGAATCAAAAATGGGGGTGGGGCGGGGTAGGGAGGGAAGTGCACGGGACTATGGTGATGGCACACGGGTGATTGGGTGATGGAAAGTCCACAGGGATAACAACTGAGATGGAAAAGGCACAAAATGATGTTAAAACAAACTATTATATTATTAAAAAAACAAAACAAAACAAAACAAAACGAGGGCACTCTGGGCGGAGTGCAGGAGATGGACTGGCCGCTGACCTTGGGGACTTGGAGAAGGGCAAATCTGGGCCACGAAGGTAGGGGCGGAGATGGTGGGGGCATTCTTGAGCTAGGGAACCCTGGAAGAAGGCCAGCTTGGAGCCAGGAAGTGTTGGAAAGTATCCCCAACACAGTCTGAACTCACCCTCGTTAAGTACACCCAGGGCCAAGCTGGCCCCTCATTCAAATACTCGCTACTGTTACTGCCCTACGGCTGTTCGCCTGCAGGAGGGCTGGGGGTAAGAGCCTGTCCAGCCTCTCTGTTTCCGGGGTGGGGGCGGGGTACCCCGTGCACCAGCCGGTCTTTAGCCCAGGTGGCCGCCACCTGCTCACGCCCAGCCCCGCTGCAGGTTGCAGCCCCTTCACCTGTATTCCGTGTGCTTGCTGGTGGGGCTGTTCTCCCTCGTCCCCTGGGGACCCATCTGGGAAGTGCCCAAGTCCCACCTGGATAACTGTCGCCAAGCATGGTGGACCAACCTGCTGTTGCTGAACAACTTCCTGTCGGTCCAGAGGGCGGTAAGTCCCCAGCCCTGGGCTGGGCAGGGGCAGATGGGTGCGAGGTGGTTTCACTTCATGGGAGTGGCCAGATTTCCCAGGGCGTCTCTGAGTCTGGGCCCCTTTCTTCTGGCATGTTCTGGAGTAGTGGTGAGGCTTGTACCCTAGAGTGGGGTCAGGGGAGGCCAGGAAGGGGGCACCGTGGAAGCTTCTGATTCAACTACACCAGAGTTAAGATTCCAGTAGCCCCCCCCCTTATCTCTGGGGGGTACATTCCAAGAACCCAGTGGGTGCCTGAAGCTACAGATTGTACCGAACCCTGTCTACACTGGGATTTTCTCCATCTACACCTGCCTATGCTAAACTCTATAATTTCGGCGCAGCAAGAGGTGAGCAATAGTAACTAGGGATGAAAGAGCAGTCACAGCTTACACTGCAGTAGCAGTTTTGGGAGTGGCCGCTCCCTCTCGGGTAGTTCCTAGGAGGAGACATCTTCTGACCCTGGGTGCCTCCGTCAAACCTGAGGCGCCCGAGTAAAGGGGGCTTGTGTTCCTTAAATCCACACGACACCATCAAGCTTGTTTCCAGCACTGTCTGGGGTGATTAGCTAGGAGTCCTTGTTTTCAGTGAGAGAAATCCTATCTGACCCCCACTGTCATAATGGCCATAACAGCACCTTGATAGAGGATTGGCTGCTGGGGGATTGGAGTCTGCAGCTGGAAAAGCCTTTAGTCTCTCTTGGAAACCCCCTACGCCACCCCTCAGAAACCCGCCCCCCCTCCCCGCCCCCAGCCTGTTCTCCCCCTCTCCATCCTTCATCTCCCCCACCCCAGCTCCCTCCCAAACTTCCTTCTGCTCCCTGAAGGTTGCACTCCATGGTGCTCCCCACTGTGAGGGGGAGCCTGACTCACTGCTGTGCTTGCAGTGCAATGGCTGGACGTGGTACCTGGCCGCCGACTTCCAGTTCCACCTGGCCACGCCGCCCCTGGTCTTCATCCACGGAAGGTGAGTGGGGGCCGCACATCTCTGCCACTCTGAGAGGCCGGGTTCGTGCAGAGCAGCTGTTCGCATTTAGGAAGTCAACAGTCTGGGAGCGACCTGACAGGGGATCTCGACTCGGGGTCCCCGTGGTTACCCGGACCAGCCTTCTGCAGCTTGAGCTACCCCTCACCCCCATTTTTGAGGCCTGTCACCGCGCCTGTGTGATAGCTGGCGCTCAGCTTTCTCCGCATTTTCCATAGGACAGGAGCTGCACACCCTTCAGCTTTAGGGCTTCTGGGCCTTTGTGGTGTTGGGGCCTCCAGAGGGCCCTTGAGGTCATCAGCATTGTAAATGAATACCTGAAGGCTGGGTCCTTCTTGCAGGTGGAGTTACTAGGTCAAAGGGAAATGACAGTGAACTAAGGTGGGGTTGCCTCAGGGAAGAGTGAAGTTGTACACAGCACCCCAGGCTGTCGGTCAGCTCACCCACTCTGCAGGCAGGATAGCTCACCCCTTAATTTTTGTTAGTTTTTGAAAAGTGCTAAGGATTCAGTCATTAATTCTTGGCGTATTAAAGTTTATGGAATATTGGTGACACTTCATTTTTTTTTATTTTATTTATACATATAAGAACCAGGGTACAAGGCCAGAGGTGGGGGGGGGCAGGTGAGAGGATTCACAGAGACAGAGAGGGGAGCAGAACAGGAGGATTTTTGGAACACACTGCTGAGGGGAGCAGCAGGCGAGACAGGAGAGGTCTGCTGGGCCGTCTCCCTGGCTGGGGGTCAAATTTAGGCCGTAGAGATGATAGCGATCATTGTACTATCAAACTTAAGCCGTAGAGGTGATAACGATCATTCTACTAAAAAAAATAAATAAATAAGAAAATGCCATCACACCTTTCGCAGGGAAGGAAACCACAGGGCCTCCTGTCAATGTCTTCTGTTTCTCGCAGAAGTAAACATGTCCTTCTCTTCCTGGGGGCCGCGCTGTTCCTGGCATCTTCCACAGCCTCGGCTCTGCTCACACTGGCTCATCACCTTCCTGTGGCAGACCCGACAGAAGCAAGGTGCCTCCTGCTGCACCCCCACCCTGTCCCTGCAGCCCCTCAGAAATGCCAGACCCCCCGGGGAGGGCTGTTTACACTTAAGCCTCACTTCAAGGAAATACAGGGTGGGAAATGTGTAGCCTGGATGGGAAAATTGACTCCTTGTTTCTAAATTTTTGGCGATTTCAACTTGCACAAGGGCCTCACTGTTGCCCAGGAAATGCTTTTCGGAGGCAAGGAGCGCCCCCTCGTGGCTGCCTTGTGTCCCGCCTCCAGTGGTGAACTGCGGCTGTGAATGGAGAGGAGGAATTTGGGGGTTCTCGAGTCACGCGGCTAGTGAGTGGGAAGGTGTGGGTTGAAGCCAGCGCTTGGCCTGCTATGTAATTTTACTTCCCTGGTGAAGTATGCGCAATCGTCCTCCTATCCCAGAGTACTACAGGGAGACCCCACAGGGCCACCTGCGCAGAGGGTGGAAATGAAAATCTCGCCAGGCCAGTCACCTGCTAACGTTCCTCCAGGGCCTCCGTTCTCCGGAGTAGAATCCCAGACTGACCTCCCCTCACGCTCCCCCGGCAGTTTCTGGTCCAGTCACACTGGTACAAGCTTTCCCCCCACCAAGCACACACCTTCCTCGGAGTCTTCATACGTGCTATTCCCTCATCCCAGAATGCTTTTCCTTTCAATCTGGGCAGGTATCTTCTGGGGGTATCTGTGCCAGGGTCACCTGAGCAGCCTTCACTGATCCAAAATAGCCCAGTACAGAGCCTGACACAAAGCTCAGTACCTCAGTGAGGGGCTGGAGAGAAGGGATGGTGACACTCCAGACCTCACGGCCGGGGTGGGGGCAGCCTGACCTCCCCGTCATGTTCTCAGCCTGTGTGGGTATGGCCGGCTGGCGCAGGAGGCTCACTCTGTCCAGGCCAGTGGTTTTCAACTCCGGTGTTCACTAGAGTCCGCCGGGAAGCTCTGACCCCCACAATTTAAGAAGCCCACAGCGGGCACCATCTCCATTGAATGACTAGAGCGCGTGGAGGTCAGAATCCCCGGGGGTGTGAGCGAAACGTGGGTAGTTTCAGAGCTTCCGTGAGACGTTCTCTTTTACCAGAAGAGGCTCACGTCTGAAAACCCCCTCTCCAGAGTCACCAGAAACCACGACTGAACATGAACATGGTCACTACATTTCCTTGGAATCCAGAGGCCCAAGGCAATGGAGAGTTTTGCCTGCCGCCTGTGGCCTAAGGGCATCATGAGGTCCCTGTTGGGGGATCATCACCAAGGAAATGAACAGCTCCCCTGCCCCAGTTCCTCTTTGGAATTGCTGATAGTTCCCGCGGAGATCTGGAGATCTACTCCCTTTCCCGACCCAATCAGTCCCAACCTGCTGGCTCATTTCCTGTGTTTCCTAGCGAGGATGTAACTGTGCTGTATTTCGTGGAGTACTACACCAAGCCCTACTGCCGGTTCGGGCCATTCCTCGTGGGTCTCCTGCTGGGCATTTTCATGCACCAAAACCATCCGACAGGCATCCTCAAAACCAAGGTAAGCGCCACCCCCCCATCCCCCACCCCCGCCTTGCGTCGCAGCAAGCCAGTGGGTAGCAAATGGAAAGAGTCTGCAGAGGTCAGGCCTCCCTGGTGGAACAAGGGGTGAAGCTGTCTGCAGCCACTGCAGCATGAGTTCAGGGAGTGACCCACAGGGCTCAGCAGACCTCTCCTGTCTCCCTGCTGCTCCCCTCAGCACTGTGTTTCAGTAGATCTGCCTGCTCTGCTTTCCACTCTGTCTCTGGTGAAGCCTCTCATCACCTCTGTACCTCTGGTCTGTACCCCAATACTGTAGCATAAATAAAATCTTAAAAAAAAAAAAAAGATCAGGGCTCTCCCTGGTGGCGCAGTGGGTTAGAGTGCAGCACTAAGAAGCTAAAGCCACTTCTGCATGAGTTCGATCCCTGCCCTGGAGCTGACCCACATGGCGCAGCAGACCCTTCCTGACCCACCCGCTGCTCCCCTCAGCAGTGTACTTCGTCAGTCAGCTTGTTCTGCTCCCCACTCTGTCTCTGGTGAATCCTCTCACCACGCTGCACCTCTGACCTGTACTCTGTCCTAAATGCATAAATGAATCAATCTTTAAAAAAACAAAAGATCAGGCATGAAGCCTCGGTGGACTTGGCATACAAGGCACCCTCTTGGTTGATCTCCTGTTTCTTTTTTTCTGTTTTAAAGATTTATTTATTTATGTTCACAGAGCTGGGGTGCAGGCCAGAGGTGCTGGGGGTGAGAGGATTCACCAGATACAGCGTGGGGAGCAGAACAGCCAGATCTACTGAAATACACTGCTGAGCGGAGCAGCGGGCCGGTCAAGAGAGGCCTGCTGTACCCCGTGGGTCACCTCCCTGGCTGGGGATCGAACTCGTGCTGCAGTGGCCCCTGAGAGCTTCATGGTGTGGTGCTTTAGCCCTTTGCGCCACCAGGGAGGGCCCATATCTCCTGTTACTTTTCACAGGCCAGACACCCGCTCTCCCTGCCTGGCCCCAAGCTCCTGAACTTTCTGTTTTAGTCGGATTCGGGCATGGATTGCGGTCTGCAGGCAGACCCTGGAGCAAGTGGGGAGGAAGTCCTGCAGTGGGAAGGGGGTCCCGCTGGCCGCCGGCTGGGGCTCTGAGCAGCTCCCTTCCTCCCCGCAGGTGCAGGCGCTGCTGGGCTGGGCCTGTGCCCTCCTCACCCTGCTCATGGTGGTGGCGCTGGCCTACGCCGTGGATGACGCCCCAGCAGGCTCCTCGGCCCCCGCTGCCCTTTACCAGGCCGTGCACCGGGTGCTGTGGGCGGCGGCCGTGGGCTGGGTGGTGCTCGCCTGTGCTGACGGCTACGGAGGTAGATGCCCGGTGGCTGGGCTCAGCCTGTCTCCCGAAGCCACAAGTGCGAAGATGAGGGCCCCCCGGGGGCCGCGGGGTGCTGGCATGTCAGCGACTCATGATAGTGACCCCCAAACACCCACCAGTCTAGGTCCCCCTTGTGCTGTTTAGAGCCTTCCGCGGGTTTTGGTAAAAATGTAGGTCCTGAGAGAAAACTTGGCAGGCTCTGTCATGGAGTTGGCCGCTGCAAGAGGACACTCAGGCGGGGTCATGAAGCGGGAGAAAATTGCAGCACCCGGGACAGGAGCTCAGGGTTCCCCCGCCTGGAGTTCCTTCCCTGAATTCCACATGCAAGGAGCCCTGTTCCATGTGAGGCGCCAGGGTGCACTTACCTTTTGGGGGGCCACTACTCACCCCACTCCAGATAGCAGAGGGTCCTATTCAGAGAGGGACTAGCCAGTGTGTAATGGCAGTTTACTTGGATAGTCAGCGTGGCTGGTGGGAGTCAGAGTATCAGACTGAGAGGGACCTGGCAGGTGGTGGAGGCAAGGTCCTCACGAACAGGCGAGGAGCCCGAGGCGGCCGGGTCACCCCCAGCCGGCATCCCCGAGACCCGCTGTGTGTGAGAACGGGCCTGAGGCTGGAGGAAGTGGTGTCTAGTTCTGAGTGGGGGGTGTTCTGCGCCCCCAGTCATGCTTCGTGGTTGAAACCACGAAGAAAAGAAAACTCGCTGTAGTCTCAGCATTAGCATCTCTCAGGGTTGCTTTTTTTTTAAGATTTATTTTTATTTATTTATGCATACAAGAATTGGGGTGCAGGTAAGAGGTACAAGGGTGAGAAGATTCACCAGAGACGGAGTGGGGAGCAGAACAGGAGGTGGACTGAAACACACTGCTGAGGGGAGCAGCGGGCAAGACAGGAGAAGTCTGCTGTGCCTGCAGGTCAGCTCCCTGGCCGGGGATTGAACTCATGCTGCAGTGTCTGGGGAGACCTTCCTAGGGCCGAGGCTTTAACCCCTGCACCACCAGGGAGGCCCAACATCTCTCATTTTGTCCTGTTCCTGCAATTGCAAGTTGTCTTTTTTGACGGTGCTTTTAAATAGTAAAAGGAGAACTTCGGGAAAGTGCAGGCACGGAGCCCTGGGGGCCACGTGACGCAGGGCGGCTTCCCGGGAGCAGAGGGCCTGCATCCCTGAGGACTGGGCTCTGTCCCTCCTCCAGGTCCCGTGCACCGCCTGCTTTCCTGCGGCATCTGGAGGGCCCTGGCCAGCATCAGCTACGCTTGCTACTTGGTGCACCCCATCCTCATCATCCTCTACAACGGGCTGCAGGAAACGCTGATTCACTACACGGACATCAACATGGTGAGTCAGCGCCCAGCCCCTCAGGCAGCACCTTCTCTTCTGCAGCAGCCCAGCGGCCATTGCTGGGTGAGAAGCCTGCCTCTGGGTGAGAAGCCTGCCTCCCCGCACCTGGCCGGCGGGAGGGCTTCAGTGCAGGAGCCGTCTCTCTGTCATTTGACTTACGCTTTTGTTTAATGTTCGGGGCACTCAGTCTAGCTGCCCCACGTCACGGGGCCAGGATGGGGGCACTTGAGGACCCAAACGAGGATTCTTGTCCGAAATGTGACCTCATGCCTGTCCTTCTCTCCAGTTCTATCTTTTCTCGGGACACTGTTTGCTGACTTTCCTCTCCGGGCTGGTCCTGACGCTGTTCATCGAGAAACCTTGGCAGGAGCTGAAGCGGGGCCTGCTGGGGCCAGGGCCTGCAGGACCGTGAGGGCCCAAAAGCATGGGTCACCCTTTGCTGGTGGGGATGCCCGAAGAACAGGTGGTCTTGCGTATGTCGTGAATGCTGTGTTCCTGTGTGTGGGTTTGATTGTGTGAACATCCCGGGGATCAAGTTGCCGAGTGTTTTCCATAGAAAAGGGGCCTGCCTGGTGGTGCAACGGGTTAAAGCACGGCACTATGAAGCTACCACAGCCCCTGCAGCAGGAGCTCGAGCCCCAGCCAGGGAGCTGACTCCCATGGTGCAGCAGACCGCTCCTGTCTCCCCGCTGCTCCCCTCAGCAGTAGATCTGTCTCTTCTGCTCCCCACTCTGCCTATGGTGGATGCTCTCACCCCTCCCCCTGCCTCCCTGGCCTGTACCCCAGCTCTTATCCGCATAAATAAATAAATCTTTAAAAAAACAAGGCCCACTCATGTACCTTTTTGCCAAGAGCACTTTTGGACGTGCCCTGAGCTTGTTTTCTGTATCAGTCCTCACAGGAAAACATCCGTTGTAGTGGATTTAATGTCAGTTGGGCTATAACATCCTTTCTCTTGGTAAAAATCACAGTATGCCCTTTTCACATCTTGCTGCTCTTGTGTTGTTATGACACTTTGTGCTCTTGTTTCTCCTGGGAACTTAGCTGCCCCCCAGCCACACACTGTTTTCTACTCACCGTGGCCCCTGTTGTGGGTTGAATTTTGTCCCCCGATACTCCCCATCATTCTTTAGAACGTGACTGTCGTTGGAGACTAGGGTCTTTGCGGAAGTGATAACATTGCCTGCGTTAAGATGTAAACCTTTCACACACGAATATCATGTAGGAAGATGCCACAGACACGAGAAAGTTTATGTAACACAAATAAATGATCAACAAATGCTTAATCTTCAGAATGCCGAGGGGACTGCTCAGGATCAATAACACAAAGACAGCACCCCCAAAAGGATCAGGCCGCTGAGGAAGGAGCAGCTGTGAGCAGAGGGACAGAGGTCCAGCAGCCCAGGGGCAGAGACACAGAACAGGTGCAGGCTGGAGGGGGCAGGTCCAGCTTCCTCCACTCTGGAAATGATGTGTCGATGTCGTCTCCACGCTGAGGAACCTGTTGTCTGTCATACTTGCCACATTTCCTCTTTTTTTTTTTTTTTTAAGATTTACTTATTTATGCATACAGAACTGGGGTACAGGCCAGAGGTGCAGGGGAAGTGAGAGGAT